TTTTGCCGAGTGATAGTTCGAGAGTTGCAGCTTGAATTTTGAATATCTGGTGCAAGGTTAATGTCGATTAGAAGATGATGATGATGATGATGATGATGAAATTAAAGGAAAATAATTGTTCCAATTGAGAAATTTACCAGTTGAATGCCCAGATTTCTTGTAAGATTTTTGCAGCCGTGAGAGTGAATTATTTTTTTGGAGATAAAATTAATTGGATTTTAGGTTTTGATACTATTGAGCCCTACAAACTTATGCTCCAGAATTTGGGCTGGTGGTAATGGACTCAAACTTGGGCCAAGGAAGAATATTGGACCAAGAGAAATTTAAAATAGATGTTGGGTGTAAAATTCGACCCAAAAGGAAATATTGAATTTTTAAGATTAAAAATCGTTTTGAATTCTTATATTAAATGTTTTGCTAGACAACTAGACGGAACGTAAAAATAAATTCTAAATTTTGACGGGAATGTCGTAGCGACATAACTGAAGTTATAAAATATGCATTTTAAAATTTGGGTCGCTACATGTACACAATTTTAGGTGGTTTGTGTTGAAGATTTTAGAATCAATTCCAAGTTGGTATACTTCCATACAAAGATTGACAGGAATATATTTCCTAGAATAGAATTATACTAGGTAGATTTATATTCCTAAACTATAACATTCCATGTACATACGGTGACTATTTAATCCCCTTAATATTGTAAGGAAGAAGATGAATGAATGAATAAAATACCTAAATTTTGAGTTGGTATCAGAGCAGGCCAAAGAAAAAAAAAGGGGGGGGGGAGCACCTCTACCAGAACGTATGGAGCTTGATTCTGAATCTCCCTCTATCGAGCCCTCAACTCCAGTAATCCATATTCAATCTGAAAACTCTGGCTTCCATGCTGGAGTTGTCCTCACCGAAAGAAACTATGATGTCTGGTCTCAAATCTTAGAGATGCAAATCGCCAGTAGAGAGAAACTTGAATATATTGTGGGCAAAACCAATCCACCAAAAGAGACAGATTCTACATATGCGAAGTGGTATGCAGACAACCAAAAGGTCAAGAGCTGGTTGCTGACCTCCATGTCGCCGGAAATAATGAAGCGGTATCTGTGATTGCGTACAGCAAAAGAAATCTGGAGTGCCCTTGCCAAAGCTTTCTACGACGGATCGGATGAGACTCAGCTTTTTTTCTTAAATCAGCGTGCCTTCACCACCAAACAGGTTGGTCAACCCTTGTCCACTTATTACGGTGAGCTTGTTGAAATCTTCCAAGAATTAGATTATCGCGATAAAATTATTATGAAAGATCCCGATGATATTGTCTCCTATAAGATGTCTGTTGGACGGCTGAGAGTGCATATCTTCCTCAGTGGTCTGGATGCACAGTTTGAACAGATTAGAGGAGAGGTTCTACGGAAGGACCCTCCAATGGACCTTGACGACACATACACCTATTCAGTAGAGATGTTGTCCGCCGAACTGCCCTAAGTACTGAACCTGATAATTCTGAGTCTTCTGCTCTACTGGTCCGACGTGCTAAGTCTCAACCTCGACAATCTATCCAAAAGCTGGAATCTGACCAGGCACGATCCCAAAAGAGCAACCATGAAATCAGTGCTATCAAAGCCGAACGATTGTGCACTTACTGTGGCGAGACTGGGCATACAAAGGCACGATGTTATGAGCTAATTGGATATCCAGATTGGTGGGATCCAGCAAAGGCACCACGCAAGCGCAACTCAAAACCAAACCACCAAGCCTCCGTTGCCGTGACAGATTCCTCCAATGATGTTGCAGAAGCTTCCTTGATTGCCACTTCAGGTAATATTGGTAAGGTTCTCCATACTTCTGCATCAGTTGGTAGTAATAGTAATGCATGGATAATTGATTCCGGCGCAACGAATCACATGACTTTTGACGATCAATATGTTAAGTTTATGAAACAAACCGCAACAAATATAGTCTCTACAGCTAATGGCAATGCCTCACCTGTGATTGGAGAATGTTCAATTCCTTTGTCGCATAATTTAAACCTTGATTCTGTTTTAGTTGTACCTTCCCTCAATCATAATTTATTATCTGTCGCTCAAATAACCAGTGCATTATCTTGTGTTGTGATTTTCTGGCCTAACCTTTGTGTTTTCAAGGACATTCGAACCCGGAAGACGATTGGTTATGATACTAGAAAAGGGAAGTTGTACTATCTTGATCTGAAACCTACTAGCTCACATTAATTGACTCAAGCTCTTTCAACAAATCAGATTGACAAGTCCTCCGAAATTTGGCTGTGGCACCGGCGATTAGGTCGTGTGTCTTTTGGATATTTAAAAATATTGTTTCCAACGTTATTTTCTCAGTTAAACACTTCAAATTTCAAATGTGATGTTTGTGAACTTGCAAAAAGTCACCGTGTATCGTTTCCATTAAGCATGAATAAAAGTCCAGTACCGTTTATGTTAATTCACTCGGATGTATGGGGGCCAGCCAAGAACCCTTCCTTGAATGGTTCTCGTTGGTTTGTATCGTTTATTGATGATCACACTCGTATGACTTGGGTTTGCATGATGAAATCAAAGAATGAAATTACCTCCTTGTTTCAGAAATTTCATAGGATGATCTCCCCCCAACAAAATGGGGTTGCGGAACGCAAGAATCACCACCTCCTTGAAGTCGTTCGAGCCACCTTATTTGGCGCTCACATGCCTACCAGCTACTGGGGAGAAGTGCTCAGTATTGCAGCATATCTCATTAACAGTGCACCTCCAAGCTCGTTGCATTTTCAAACTCCCTGTGACGTCTTTCATTCAACCATAAGTGCTCCTACTGCTCCAAACTTACCACCTAAAATTTTTGGATGCGTGGCATTTGTGCATCTTCCCAAGCCGTTGCGTGATAAACTGGAGCCACGAGCCCTGCGATGTGTCTTTGTTGGCTATGCCTCACTTCAAAAGGGCTACCGATGTTACCACCCCCATCACGAAAGCTGTATGTCACCCTCGATGTCGCCTTTCATGAAAATGACATGTACTATGCCGCTCCTGAGTCTTCAATTCAGGGGGAGAGGAAAAATGAATCGCAGACTCTAAATCTAATTCCTCCATTGGACCATTCAGATAATACAAGTGGTCAAGTCGTGGATAAAAATGGTGAGTATCCAGAAGAGGTAACTGAGGGTCTAGAGGAGATAACTGGAGAACTGGGTGAGCAACCTGATGCTTATTTGAATGAAGAAAATAATCAGAATCAGATGGAAGCGACTCCACTTCAAGTACCATCTAACCAATCGTCTTCTGATGACGATTCTCCTCACGAATCCCAGGTATATCCTGAACCTCAATTCCTTCCAAAAATACTACCTAATCGAGCTATTAGAGGTATACCTAGAGCTAACTATGAACCTATTCTTAGTTCTGATCCTAAGTATCCCATGAACAATTATGTATCCTACCATAGATTATTAAAGGAAAGTGTATCATTTGCAAATCAATTATCTGCTGTATCTATTCCTACTAACATGCAGGAAGCTCTGGGAGATCCTAGGTGGAAGGAAGCTATGAATGAGGAAATGAAGTCACTTCAAAAGAACTCAACTTGGGAAGTTGTTGAGCTGCCTAAAGGGAAGAGACCAGTTGGATGTAGGTGGGTTTTCATAGTCAAATATAAGGCAGATGGAACTATTAAAAGATTCAAAGCTAGACTAGTCGCCAAGGGATACACTCAAACTTATGGAATTGACTACATGGAGACATTGCACCGGTAGCAAAAATCAATACCGTTCATATTCTTACATCACTGGCAGTGAATTTTGACTGGCCATTGCACCAGTTTGATGTGAAGAATGCATTTTTACATGGAAACCTTCAAGAGGAAGTATACATGGAGTTACCACCCGGATGTAATTTAGAATCAAAAGGTGGACGACATGTTTGCAGATTGAAATGTGGATGTAATTTAGAATCAAAAGGTGGAGGACATGTTTGCAGATTGAAAAAGGCCCTATACGGTCTGAAACAATCTCCGAGAGCATGATTTGGAAGGTTTACGAAGTCAATGAAAGCTTTTGGATACAGGCATAGTAACTCAGACCATACCCTCTTTGTAAAGCATAATAAAGGAATGATCACTTGTCTCATTGTGTATGTTGATAATATGATAGTAACGGGAAATGATTTGGAAGAAAGGAGAGCATTGCAGAACCACCTAGCCCGAGAATTTGAGATGAAGGACCTTGGACTATTGAAATATTTCCTTGGTATTGAAGTGTCAAGATCAAAGGAAGGTATCTTTTTATCTCAACGAAAATACGCCTTAGATTTACTAAGTGAGACTGGTATGATAACTTGTAGTCCAGTTAACACTCCTATGGAAGAGAATTTGAAGCTAAGCATATATCCAGATCAAGTTCCAACAAACAAGACGAGGTATCAAAGACTAGTTGGAAGACTAATGTATCTTGCGCATACTCGACCTGACTTAGCATATGCTCTAAGTACCGTAAGCCAATTCATGCATTCTCCGAGCGAAGAACATATGAATGCAGTTACTCACATTTTGCACTACTTGAAGTCATCTCCAGGAAAAGGGATTATGTAACGCCCCAAATTTTATTGGATTAAACCTTGGGGTGTTATCGATATCGTTTCTTAATGCGGAATCATTTAAGTAAAAATTGGACATCTAAATTTATTTAAAGCATTCAAACATCAATTTAAACATAATGTCAATAAAATCTAAACATTTAATGGAAATAAAGAAAGCACGAAATGCCGTTACATATTTTATTGTCAAATGTCTTTCTTGAAAGTTTATTACTTGGCAACCCGCACACCGCACAGCCACCATCCACGTAACATTGAATTTTGAAGGAATGAGTAATTTGACTCAGTAGGATACGTGCGTCCAAAACAATACGATAATTCTTTAAACATAAACTTATAACATTTCATACCATCATTTCATCAAGAGCTATCGGAGATCAATCGAAAGCTCTAACATTTTGAGAAAACCCCGAAGGAAATCCCACATTTCATTTCATTTGAGAAAACCCGAAGGAGATCCCACATTTCATTTCATCAAGACCCGTAGGTCAATTAGCATTTAATGGAATAAATCATGTAAAAGAAATCATAATATTGAAAGGACATAAACACTTGCACGTAGTATCCTACCTTATCAACGAATGTTGAAGACACAATGACGTTTAAGATCTTTGTTTTTGTAACTCTGTCTACTGCTTCGTTGAAATAATAATATTGTGTGGTGCTAGAAAAACATGTTGCACTCACGTGTGTATATATATATATATATTGGATAGTCCTCTAAAAAGGGTAGAGCCCCATAAGACCACACGTTTTCTTCCACGAAATTGGCTCAATCTAGTGACTGTCTATACATTATATTGTCTCAATCACAGAAATTTACCAATTTCAAGGCAATGACTGACCAAATCACTGTTACAATTTACGTGTCCTTCCAAACTGTAAAAGAGTATACAATTTACACCTTTTTCATTCCCAATGCAATCATATCAAATCAATTTATCATGGCCAAATAAAATATTATTTTCCTTTTCCATAAGAGGGCACGTGCATGCCATCATTCAAATTTCTCAAGATTTGAGGCATTAAAATATTGTTAAAAGAAAATAAATTAATTGGCAACTTTCCTTTTCCTACACACGTGTTTGACCCAATCCCTTTCTCTCTTCAACTAATAAATTGATAAAAGGGACTAAATAGTGCTCCATCAAGGCTACACGTGTCATTTTATGTTAACTCATTAACTTAATTGATTAGCAATTTAACAATAATGTCTTTTGACCTCGATAACTTGGGCATTGATTATCCGAATTACTTTTTCTCGAACACAATATACATAACTAATTATGAGCTATCTAACGACTCCAATATTGATATATTTATCATCACTTTATCAATATCTAAATATTTGGCCCAATTGAATTTAATATACGTCACTTTAGTCCTCCAACTTTCAAAGTACGAAATATAGTAGATGGAATAAATAAATTTTAAATTCTAAAATTTCGGGGTGTTACAGATTATGTTTAGAAAAGGGGGCAATCTGGATATCAAAGGATACACTGATGCAGATTGGGCTGGATCAATCAAGGATAGACGGTCCACAGCAGGATATTTCACCTTCATAGGAGGAAATTCGATTACCTGGCGAAGCAAGAAGCAAGCTGTAGTTGCTCTACCTAGCGCCGAATCTGAGTTCAGAGGAATGGCTAAGGCGATATGTGAATTATTATGGATTCGTAGCTTATTAGAAGATCTAAATATTAAGCATGACAGTACAATGAAACTATATTGTGATAACAAGGCAGCATGTGATATTGCTCACAATCCAATTCAACATGATCGAACCAAACGTATGGAAATTGATAGGCATTTCATCAAAGAGAAATTAGAAGCAAGGATCATTGAAACTCCTCATGTCTCATCTCAAGAACAACTTGCTGACTTACTTACTAAGGCTGTACCAAGTCGAGCATTTCACGATGGTCTTAACAAATTGGGAATGAGCGACATCTGTGCACCAACTTGAGGGGGAGTGTTGAAGATTTTAGAATCAATTCCAAGTTGGTATACTTCCATACAAAGATTGACAGGAACATATTTCCTAGAATAGAATTATACTAGGCAGATTTATATTCCTAAACTATAACATTCCATGTACATACGGTGACTATTTAATCCCCTTAATATTGTAAGGAAGAAGATGAATGAATGAATAAAATACCTAAATTCTGAGTGTTTGACTCTGTGTTGCTTAAAGAAAGCCCACCTTGAGCAGGTTTGATGTTGGCAGACAAAATGGATGACGAGATCTTAATTGTAATCTTTATGAATCTATTTGTTATGCTTGAATGATGACAGTTTCAGAATTTTCTTAGCTCTCTTCTCGTTATTGGGTACAAGTGCAAAATTATACAGCGAGTCATAGCATATTCACATTACAGTAGTCCTATGATTTTCTTTTCATTTGAAAGGAAAATGTCCAATAAGTTCATTTGGACTTTTTCCTTTCAAATGAAAAGAAAATCATAGGACTACTTTTTCATTTGGACTTTTTCCTTTCAAATGAACTTATTGGACATTTTATTTAAAGCGACGATGATAGCTCTAAAGTTCATGAAGGCTGATGAACTTGTCTTGTCCTAGTTCGAATATATGATTCTTGATGATATGGGCTGCAATTTTGTTGAGCATCTCACTACCTCTATCAAATAGAATAAGAGTAAATGATTCTTTTTTCCCCTTGTAAATAGAATTTTTATGGGAAAGTTCTAATTTGGTCCATGTAATTGGATAACCAGACCCTTTTTCATTTCATTACACAACAATTAATTATTAAATGGTGCTGGTAGCAGTTGTGTTGGATTGCATTACATTGTTTATGGGCCTGTATGCTAGTCTTATCATTTCTCCACTTACTAATAGTTCATGTATGATTATGATTGGTTTTTGTAGGATACAGCAGAAGGTGAAAAGCAGACATCGCAAGAATGTGGTTCTCAGACTAGTATTAAAGATTCAACTGAAGAGTTGCTGTTCAATCCTAATGTCTTTACTGAATTTAAGCTAGCTGGGAGTCAAGAGGTAGCTTATGTTTCCTTTCCGTGCTACCTCTTCCCTCGATCCAGTTTTTGGCTAGAATTCCATGATGTTAACTTTCTTCCCTTGCATTGTCCTCCAGGAGATAGCAGCAGATGAGGAAAATGTGAGGAGAGCAAGTTTGCACCTTAAAGATGTCGTGCTACCAAAATTTATACAAGATCTTTGCACGCTTGAAGTTTCACCAATGGATGGACAAACTTTAACTGAGGCACTCCATGCTCACGGGATTAATGTCCGGTATATTGGAAAAGTAAGAATGAGCTTCTGAAGGGTTCTTGTCTGTCATCCTCTGACATCATTTCTTTGTAAATTCAAACATTTTCTCTATGAAATCTAGATTGTATCATGAGTTTCCAAGCCTGATATTACTTTTCTCTGTTTGCTATACTGAGAGGCTGAAATGTTTTAATTTTTTCTATAGGTTGCTGAAGGGACCAAACATTTAACTCACTTGTGGGATCTTTGTTCCAACGAGATAGTTGTCAGATCTGCAAAACACATCCTTAAGGTGATCGGCAGCGTATTAAACACGTGCAGTATTTAGTAATGCCCTTTTTGATTATCCTATAATAGATTGACAGAGATTGAAGTATGGTTGTGCAAACTACCTGGCTTCTTTGTGTGGAATCTTGTGACTGATTCTGCCCAGCCTGATTTTATCTTTCCTAAGATAGTGGCTTTGTACTAAGTTACTTTCAGACATGAGAAGTGGGAGTTGATTTTGTTTGTTGTATTCTATTTGTTATCAGAAGCGAACTGCCTAATATACTACAGTTTTTCCCTTCATCCATTCCCTTCCACTCTATCCAAGGCTTTCTTATATTAAATATAGCTATTGATGCTGCTTGGTTTTGAAGCAATCACTTGTGCCAGCCACCTGTATTGCCTGTTCGAGGCATCATGTATGATGAGTTGTTCTCTTTATTCGCTCAACTTATTGCATATTCTCTTTTGGGGAGGAAGTTGTGGTTTGTGCAAGTTGGCTTAGTTTGCTGAGGTTTCTTTGGGGTTCAACAGGTCTTTCCAGAACTCATAATGGATAAATAATTTTCTTGAGGCCGTGCTTTACCACTTTACTGAAACTAATATTGAATGATTGGTAGCTTTTATTTACTTGGGGTGGTTAGAAGATTGTTTATCCACCATTATATTTTTTCTAATGCAGGACGTCTTAAGGGATACAGAGGATCATGATCTTGGGAATGCAGTTTCACATTTTTTCAATTGTTTGTTTGGAGATATTCAAAGCGTTTCTGTTAAAGGTGTTGCAAACCACACACATTCTAAGAATTCAAAGAAGGTACATGAATATTGATCCACCTCTGTAAATTTTTTCAGCGTTACGTAATATCTCGTGTACAAGTTCTGCTTTTGCACAATAATGTAATTTATTTGCACGTCATAACTCTCATGCTATGAGAGAAATTATTTGTTCTTTATATACATTGAAGCATAGAGAGTAGTATTTCCATCTATTCAAAATTACATGAATGTCTATATGGAAGATGGAAAAGCCAGATCGAGTCTCTTGACTTTTAGTTTATACTAGTTAGCTATGTATGTTTGCACTTAGGCACGTACTCAAAATGCTGAAAGTTTTAGTCCAGGTATCCCCAGACCTAATGTGCAGATTTTGCAGGCTCCGGGGAAGTCTTCCAAGGAACAAGCTAAGTATAAAAGTGGAGAATCCGGAAGAACGAAGCACTCGTACTTGAGCATGACATTTGATAGTTTGTGGTCTGACATACAGGAGCTTGCAAAAAACTAAATACCGGGTATAATGTACTTGAAAAAACTTATATATGCAATTTGACAGGATTGCTTATAATTTTTTAGTGAAAATTTTCTCCTGCAGTTTAACTTGCCAGAAGATGCCAGAATGCTGGCAAAGAAAATTTCAGTTATTAGGAACCTTTCCCTAAAGGTAACCTTTTGTGAGATCTTTCTAATATGCTTGAGTTGCACGCGTTTCGTTACTTGCAACAAGGATCTTTCAGAATATGCATTTCTGCTCCCAATTTCTGAAAAGAAAAAAAATCCTAGTTTTATATGCATCGAATTGCTTTGTCTTCCTTCTGTTAATAATATGAAATAATCAATGTTAAGGCTATTGTAGAATTCTCTCTTTGTGCATATGAAGAAGCATTCTTTAATTACCTCATATATACGTATATTGTTTCAATTATTTACAATCTGGTTGAGTACAGCTAATTCAATTGTCAGATGAGGTGGGGCAAATGCATTCATGCATGTTTGACAACATCATATGTCCTCGCAGAGGATGTTAATGGTTGATATTTTCTAATAGTTTCATTTAGTTATTTCTTTCACAGCAATGAAGAAAAGAAAATTGACAGAAAAAAGATAGGCAAAAGAGGGATTGCAAAGAGGGAAAGAGGAAAGAGAGGAAGGAAGAGAAAACGCAAAATGAACCCATCACTTGGGAACGAGATGAGTATAGATAATTGTAACCATCATGTATGGATAGGCTAATCAATTAGTGTATTTGGGGGGAGAAAGCTCCCCAAAATAATAAGTGGAAGAATACAGACACGGAAAGATGAAAAGAATACGTTATTTGAAGCACATGGGTGTATTGTAGAAAGGAACCTTGAATCCTTTGTCATGACTTCTAGAATGTAAATAAAAAAGTGAAATTCATGATTATAATCAGGTAGGTCTTTTATTTTAAACCATAATCAGCAGGTTTTAATTCTTATTGCCAACTATGTTCTTTTCAATGGTATTGCCAATCCTCTTTTGCTGTGGGATTGTTTTTACTTATGTTAGGTGTTAAATGTTTTCCTGTTCTATTGTACGTGGGATGCAAATTAAGAATACTTTCCAAGTCCAAGAACTATAAACATATCGTTTTTCATCATTTTCAAATTATTGGTGTTTATGGTGGTTATAAGCTAGATCAGTATTGTAGCAGCTCCCTTCGAGCCCTTTCTTCTGTTTTTTAGCATCCACAATATTAGCTTTACTGATATTTCTTGCTCCTATCTTTTTTCTTGATTATGTTCTGTTCATTTTATTTTATTTTGCAGTACAGTATTGACTTTTACTAATATCAAATGTCACGAGCCATTTAGGTCCATATAGGCTAGGTGGTCTATTTGAGCCTTTGAGGCCATGTATGTGTGTGATGGTCTGTTATACATGAAAATTCTTATTAGTTCCCAGTTAAAATTCCACGATTTTCTGTAAGTCATGGTTTGAAGATTAATGCAAGTCAAACTATGAGTTTGTACCTGTAATGATGATTATTTTCCACTAATGCTTGTTCGCTATCACAAGTGGCTGGTTTTTGTCTTGAAATGATGATTATTTTCTTATTCTGGCTGAAGCTATTTTGTTTTTTTCCCTGGAATTGTTTAATTTATAACCATGTGACCTTAACAGGTTGGAATCACCCTTGCTGCTCGCGAGTATTTTCTTGATGCTGCAGTGCCTTTCCAGGTTTCAGATATTTTGGATCTTCAACCAGTAATAAAGCATTCAATTCCAGTTTGTTCAGAAGCTAACGATCTCGTCGAAACTTGAAAGGTTCAATTAGCTGAGCTACTGATTGTTTTGATTCATGCAGGAGGAAATTCTCGTTAAGTGATTTTTAAAATTTTTCTGTACCAGTGTTAAATTCAGTAATTGAGAATTTTAATAACAATGTGTCCACGACACAGCTATTGTAATCAGTTACATTATTATTTGGGGTCAAGGAATTTATCTCGGGATAAAGTTATTCACCTTTTACCTCCAATGATCCAAAATAAGGAAATAGATAGTGTAATTTGTTACAAGTGCGTGTCTAATTTTCAGGTCTTCCTTTAATTGACACGAATTAATTAATTGGAGTTTGGAGTTTGGAAATTTTCCATACTAATTGTGGGTATTGGGTAATATCTTGGATTCTACCTAGATTTACTGGAAATTGTAACATGTATTGTCGCTTTTTTCACAGGGAATGCTTAGTGAAGCCTACACACTGTTCACTGAAGCATTCACAATACTCCAGCAGGTACAATTATCGTTTTCTATGGTCCCTTGTTTTTTTGTTGTTACGAGGGATTAATGAATAAATTGTGAAAAATATTCAGGTTACCGGTCCAATGCATCGAGAGGTTGCTAACTGTTGCCGGTAATCATCATTTTATTACTTGGTTATATTATTTTCTGGATTATGTTCCAGCTTTCATTTATTTGATGTGGATTCAGTATGTCATTTTTATTGATGATACATTTCTTGAATTTATCTTTCATCGATAGATGTGCAAACACTTTTCCTCTTTTCTGATTTACTGTAATTTGGAAGATACACTTTGACTATAGATCTCATCGGTGGAATGGTAAATAAAGATGAGTGTTTGTTCTTTCTGCTGGCGATTGATGAACGGATGAGGGTTTGGTTAGAGGTGTCAAGACGGACGAGTCGGCCCGAATCGACCTGGGACCGCTGGCCGACCCATGACCCTTGCGGGCGGTTCACGGGTCAAGGAGGTGTAACCCGCGGGCTTCGCGGGTTGCACCCCTATGAATTCCAATTTATTCTTACAATTATTTTTACAACTCTCTCATTAGTTATTATACATTTATAATTCATAGCTCATACTTGTTATTACTTTACTACAATTGCAAATATTATCATCATCTTGATTATATTTCTTTCTTCTTAGTTCTCACTAGTCACTACTAAACTTTTTAATTCTACTATTTTCAATGATAGTTGTTCTCCAATAAATTTAGAAGATGATAATATTGTAGAAGTTGGATCATCTCAAAATTCAAGAAAAAAACAAACATCAAATGTGTGGCAAATGTTTACAGTAAATAAAAAGGATGGAAAAGCGGTATGCAATATCTGAAAAAAAAGATTATGTCTGGAAATATGGTCAAGGCACGGCACACTACGGAGACACAAAGAGAAACATCTAAATGAAACGGGACATTTGGTTCCTAGACAAATTCAAATTACTGGTTTTATTAATGTTATTAATGCATTTGTTAATTGAAAGCAAAATCAATTTTAAATAACTGATTCGGATTGGGAAAAAACATTTAAAGTTATGAAATTTTTGAAATATTTCTATAAGGCAACAAAAGTTAGTTCTGGAGTTTATTATCCAACTAGTAATCTTGTACTTTTACAATTAGTAAAAATTGTTGGACAATTTTCATCATTTAGAGACGATCCATTTTTCTTTAAAATTATTTACTCAATGGAGGAAAAGTTTTAAAAATATTATGAAAATATGCCACTAATTTTTTCAGTGGCTGCTGTAATGGATCTTCGCATTAAGTTGTTTGGAGTTCATTGCTTTAGAATCACTTTCTGAAACATTGGCTTTTAACATAAATATTACAAATCAACAATTGGGAATTTTTATTAATGAAATGTATAACAACTATTTTATTAAATATGGTAACAATAAAAATGTGTCTTCTTCTCCAATCTCTAGTACAACTTTTAAAGGCAAATTTTCTTTTTTCTCCATAATAACTAAGAAACGTAATGTTCTTGGTTCTTCATCTACTACTTCAACTGCAAATCCACATACCACACCTGCTGAATTAGAAAGATATTATCAATTTGATCATTATAGTTTAATACCTGAAGATGAAGTGGATAAGTTAGATATTTTACGATGGTGGAAATTAAATGAGCGGTCATAACTTGTATTATCTAAAATGGCACGAGATATACTAACAGTTTCAGTCTCAACAATGGCATCCGAGTCTGCTTTTAGTGCAGGTAAAAGGGTATTGGACGAACGAAGATCTAGACTTAAAGAAGATTTTTTGGAAGCTCTCATATGCGTGAAAGATTGGATATTCGTGGATCGAATGATGCAAGATAAAATTATTGATGATGTTGCTGAAGATTTCAAAAATCTTACAGTTCATAAAGATTGATTGAGAAACAAATATATAATTTTTCAATAACTAAATTATAGTTAATAGTTAAGACTTAAGTAGGTGACAACCTGATTGGGATGTACTTAAATTATAAATTTTAGTAAAAGTAGGTGCCAACCTATTGAGATGTACTTTGCTATAAATGTATACCTTCACGTAATTAAAAATGCATTTAGTTGTTAAATTTCAATTATTAAAATTGAATTATATGTAAACATTTCTTGGTATAAATATGAATTTATCATTTTGTTCAATTCTTAGTTTACATTTAAAAAAAAAATTGCTATCAATATGAAAAATTCTTGGAATAACCCGTGACTCGTGACCCACGACCTGTGACCCGTATGGGCTCGACCAGGATGGGTCAGCGGGCGGTCCTGGGTTGTAGTCCAAAATTTGTGAGTCGACTCGGAGCTGGCCCGAAACCGGTAGCGGGAGGGCTTTTTCACACTGGCCGTTACCCGACTCATATGTTGGTGGGCCGACTCGGCCCGGCCCACCCGGATTGACACCTCTAGGTTTGGTTGGGAATGGATTTATTTTTCAAGAAAAAATTCTTAAATTTATCTTCATAGACAGATACGCAAACACTAAAACTGTTTTCTGATTTACTATAATAGGTACATACTAATGAGTGTCTGTTCTTTCTGCGGGCAATTGGTGAATGGGTGGGGGTTTGGTTTGGTTGCGAATGGATTTATTGTTGAAGAGAAGTTTCAATACATATATCCCCTTTCTAAAGACTTGAGCCTTTAAATGAGGTGGTTTACTATGGTATTGAAGTCTCGACTCTTCTGTTCAAGTCTCACCATCATCAAGTTATGAAAAGTTCGTGTCTTGGGCCTTTAATGAAAAATTGAATCCTGGCTGCACTTGATAGGACATATTGAGGACGAAATTAACTAAAATGTGTACCATCTCCAACGGCTTAAGCTTTTACATAAGGTGGTTCAACATTTATGACTTGATTCTTTTAGTTTGCAGTGACATGTAGATTGGAAATTTGATTTCAAAAGTCCACCCTGCTTTATTGATCTAGTTATTTGGTCAATCAATGCTTGTACTAACCTGCGTATTACCTTTTCAATTTGCAGCTACCTGGCCATGGTTCTTTATCATGCCGGAGATATGGCTGGAGTCATAATGCAACAACACAAGGAACTTATCATAAATGAGCGATGCCTAGGACTGGAACACCCTGACACTGCTCATAGGCACGAGTTCTTCATTATATAAATTGTTCCACGCCCATTTGCGAGCTTGTCAGTCAGCATCTTATAATTTATTGGGTTTTGAGATTTAAGAGTTTATTTGGCCAAGCTTAAAAGGTTTTCTACAAGCAATTACAAGTTTTAAATATAAAAATCTTTTTGTTGGTCAACGTTGAAAATAAGTTGTTTACTTCTTTTGACAATAACTAGTGCTGGACGTGCGTTGCACGACTCGACGTCAAGTGTATGTATTGATAATGGTTTATGTTGGAATAATTTTTAATCTAAAAAGTGAAAACGGAAAAAGGAACTTGGGCTATATATTTTGGGCCTTCTTGTATAAGGAAGTTGAAATTTCAGGAAACCATTTTACAAGACACAATAAGAAAAATAACAACCAGCAAAAGAAGGGAATAAACACGTGAACTTAATCTGCAAAATTGGACTTGGGGCCAGGGTAAATGAGTAAATCATTCCATATAATAATATGTTTATATTGTTTAGCTTAGAAATTGATAAGGTAAGAAGGGTTTCAACACCAAATAAGAAGAAAGAAATCTGCCTGCAAAGTTATCAGCTTTTCACTATCGGGTCCCATGTAAATACAAGTGAGCAAATGACTCAAAGATGGGAAGTAACTAAAAAACTAATGTAGAGGATACAAGCATACCTATGGAGGCTTAAAAGGGTAATCGAGAGGAAAATGAAAGGAAACAAAAAATACACTTCCAGAATAAGGACTATCAGAAGGTCCCATAGTCGTTGCTTGCCAATGGAACATATCTTCTACCACAGGACCTGCATTAGATGTGACAAGTGAATAGAATTAAACTGCAAACTTAGATTGAATACAATTGCTAAAGCAAATTAATACAATATAAATATCAGACCTAAAAATGAAAAATACAAAAGTTCAATCCATCGGATGTGTATCCCCACAATTGTAAAAAATTCTATTTTACAAGGGAAAGTGATTATAAGAGATCATGTGATCACGTCAATGGACTACAATGATTTCATCATTCTTTGATTTACTCTAGTACAATACTTAGCACAAACTGATGTGTATGCCCACATTTGACTAATGAAATCATTGCAACTTTATTCACAAATTCTGAAGAAGCAAATTTTTTTCTAAATTTTCCCTTTAAATTATCATAGTTCAACTTCCAAGCACCTAAATAATCCACAGCCCACTTGACAATAGATATGTAATGTACATGAAAGAAGAACAAGCGCACCAACAGAAATTTTATTTTCCATCCACAGGAAAACATCACCTGTAGCCAAAAATCAAGGCAGTAAGACAATATAAGTGGAAAGTTGTACAAGTATCCATGGAAAAGAGAGTGAACTCGTAACTCTGATTTTAAATTAGATAGGAATCTAGAATTGTTGATGTCTCTACTTGGTTCCTCGAAAAATGCAAGAATTACATGAATAGGAAAATTTATCGAAGACCTACATCTCTATACTTCAATTTCGTTCCAATTTTAATAGCATTCCATTCAATCAACCTTAAATAGATCCATAGTCAAAATTTCACACAATATAATTCATCTGCAAAAAAAAAAGAGAAATATAAAGTACTAAAAAAAACCTATAATTGCACAAGTAATATAAACACACATTAAAAAAAATTAGTCATTTTCCAATCAAAATGCTAAGATCCTACAAAATATCTAATAGAGATGCAAATTAATCGATAGAGAGAGAGAGATCATCTGTACATTTTGCTCCGCCTAGAACCTTGCACACAGGCTTTTGGAGGCCAAATAAGAGATAGATCTTGTCCTTGACCGCAGCTGCCCTCGCCTAAAAGAAAATGGTTAATCAGAAGTATATTTTCTTCAAACATACAAGTGTGTTAAGATTATAATACAGAACACAGTAATAAATTGAAGCTTACCACTGCCAGTGGCCATAATCACCTAAATAATCTTTACCATCTAAAATTTTCTCCACAATTTATTTCTGATAGGGACGAAATTTCGAAAACCCAAAACATTCATTTACTAAAAAATAATAAAATTGTTAAAAATCTTGAAGAAAAACAAAAGGATAGAAATTAAAAGTAGAAATTTGAGAGTGGAAAGGAAACTCCGGGGTCGACTGCATTTCTGTGTTTAATTTTCCATCGGCTTATTAGTCCATTACGATGAGAAGCACACAGTCTTCATATTCTTGATATGATATACACAAAAGCATAAGGAAAACATAATATTATTAAAGAAAAAATTCTTCCTCATTTAGACATCAGATATCACAAATTACCTAAAATGCAATTATGCAAAGATGAATTTCAAATTACAATTTAAATTAGTGAAACATACTTTTTATCCACACATTTCGTATGACCCACAACTACTACTTGTTTGTTAGCCACGCACTCTGTAGGACGCATAGCTTATCAAGCACTACTAATTTACAAAATATTCTCCTAGTTTAGGTAGTCATTGAAAATTAAAATCAGGAATCAGAAAATTCTGAAACCAAACACCAGCTAGCCGTTTACGATAGTTATCCAGAAAAACAGAAACATTTAACTTAAAAAATAATATAATCAGGAAAAAGTTAAAATTATAGAAAACATATGGAAAAAGCATTTAATAAGGAAAAACAAACCATATCAGCGTTTAATAAGGAAAAACATGTGCCACATCCTAGTCAAATTCGGTAGATTTTGCAGCCAAAAATGGGCAAAAAATCAAAAAGAACAAACTAAAGATAGATTAGGGAAAAGCACAAGTAAATTTGCAACATGTCACATTTTCTATCAATTTCGGAGAAAAATAAGTTATTTTGAAGGGATTATTTAAACAATTTTCTTTTCAATATTACAGTGTTGACGTGTTGTGACTACAAATAATAATTAAGAAAAAAGAAATGCTTGTATTAATATTATAATTTTTTTTTACCTAAGATGGTGAAGTCATCTGCAATGTTGGCTATATGATGAACAGAACTTTTAGATTGTGACAAATTTACTCTGTTTTGTTTTCTTTTCCAGTTTTCTTATGTTATTGGCTTCTATTTGCAGATAAGCTTTTTGGGAGAAGACAAATGCCTTTCATTTCAGATTCTTCATGTCGCCAAAGGCCTGGTAGTTTTCCTCTTTTATTTTGCTTGCTTTCCTGGGATTTTTTCCTCATGTAGCCGAAGGTTACTCTGCATTAAATTTTTTTTTTTTACTGATTGTTCTTTTTTCTCCATCTTATTTTACTAAAGGCTAAGTTGCAGCGACTTCAAGTGAGCGTTGCAGCAGAAGTTGGGGCTAAAGAGAGATCTTATGATTCATTTTTATACAGTGACATTTCTACCTCTTCATTGCCTCAGATCATTAGGTTAATTCTATAGCTTCACCTTTTTATGCTTGCTTTTCTTTTAATTGACTGTCTCCTTTTCATGCGTAGATGCGTAGAGTAGTCTCAATGATCACACTCTCCTTTTGTTGGGAAATTTGTGCAGATGGAAATTCCATCTTATGTTCCAAGTTATTTCAGTACTAAGTTTGATACAATCAGTTTTCTCCACAAAATGAAATCAGCCTCTTCTTGCTTCTTGTACTGAGAATGAGTTTCTCCATTTTCACGGAATAATTAATAAAAATTAAAGTACCGGTTATAAAACTACTATTCAGTTTACCTCGTATGCCACGACAAATGACCTCAACCCTCTTTCTGCAAATATATCAATCACAGCATGTACCCTTCGCTGTATTTCAGATTTATTATGCGCAAGATTTAGAATCTACAATACATAAGTAAGGCAGAAATTAGAATTATAAAATAACAGAAGATGCAACAAAGGGCAGAGGTGTGTAATGAAAAGCCACCTGCTGATGAACTCTTGGCTGTATCAAATATAGGAAAAACTGTGACATCATCTCTTCTAGATAATATTGTAAGGTGCTCATGATAGAAAATTGGTGCACAAAACCTAATCCATTCATCCACTGGCATCAAGTACTTAGCAAACAAGATTAGCCATTCTCTTCTAAACGTATGTAACAGATAGAAGCCATTGAAGAAAAAACGCATATTGTTAGTCCCCTATCTTGTGGCATTGTTTCATTCAGGCCCTCAACTATTGTTTCAAGTTAGTGTCCGAACTTAATTTTTATTTTAGCTAAGAAATGTCTTACAGAATTAAAGGAAATGTGGCATGAGAAGTCCGTAAGCGTAGGCAAAAATGCATATTTTTGGAGAAGTAATTTAAAATGAGCTTTTATTATTAAAAAAAATAATAAAGAAAAAGGAAAGCAAAACTTGTCGAACAAGACGCGGTTATACCAAGTTGAACAACAAAAACTATGGACAAACCAAATTTTTCATACCACGTCATCATATTCATTAATCTGATAAGATGGAGTGCCTAAATTGAATAAAAATTGAAGTTTAACGATGGTGACAAAAATGAAACAATAAGTGGGTGAACTTCAATGCAGTTAATGACAAAAAACACGCTAACTGGAAGGGTACATAAAATCTGTACCTTCCCTAGAGAAACATATTCTCCATGCTGTAGTTGACGATATCCTTTTTACGATCAATAACCTCTAAGCTTCCAACAGCATGGAATCTCCCTACATCACCCGTATGGAACCACCTCATTCCTTTCTCATCAACCTAAGCATCAGCAGAATAAGAAAGTAAATACATCTATCGCAGAGTAAAGAGCACGTTTGGCTAGCTTAAAATAAATAAAAGTTACTTTCAATTTCCAAACATGTTCAGAACATTTTCCTTACATTTAAGTTTTAAAGTAGTTTTGAAAGTAACATTTTTTTTACTATCAAAATAAGTAAATTTTACTTATTTCCAATTTTAATCAAATAAAAGTTATTTATTTACTGATAAGTAAACTGTTCAGGCAATGTGAACATTGGTATTTTAGCATAATGCAATGTTAGGCCAGGAATTATTCATTTTTTCATAAGAAAACAAGAATAAATTTAGTGAAAGATACGTAGTTTGGTTCTGGTAGAAGATGTCATTTCAAGAAAAACATATTAATATAAAAAAGAATAAAATGAGATGCATCCAAAATTTTATCCTGTCATCTTTAGTCACCTGCTCTGGCCCATAATTAGTGTATTTTTCATTGCAATCCCTTGGTCTAAACACCTGGTTATAATCCGAATTGCCCAAAACATATTTTTAGCTCTTTCACACATTTGAATAGTCTCACGTGCTTCAAACTTATTTGATTAATGACAGTTAGCATTTAGTTAGATGTTCTTGCTTGTAGTTTTTCTTCCACTTTCAGGGCTCAATCTAAAAACTTATCATGTAAAATCTACACTTCATCCTCTCTATCCAACCATTCAAGGGATATATTTGTTATTTTACCAGCATCAGCAACTCAGAATATATTCTTATAACTGCGTTGCAATTTCCTTCCATGAGCTAAAGAATCTATCAATCTCAATTATCCAACAAATACAGAAAGATAACTAAAGCTTTAAAAAAAAAAAAAGTTAGCAACTTCATCGTGTTGCAGATGGTATTGCATTCATTTGTAACGAATTTGTCCCACACAAAAGCTTCATAACCCAAATATCATCATAGCAGATCCCAAACCGAAATTTAACTTCCCCTCTAGATTCTTCAAAGCTTTAGTTGGTATTTTCTTCTCCTGGGACTACAAAAAGCAGCCCAAGATTACCTCTCGCTCTCTCTCTCTCTCTCGTTGGAAGCTAGAACCTCGTTGAATAGATTAAAGTTATCAAATATCACAGACATTAACTCTTAAATCTCTCCACTTCTCAAAGAATTTAATGCTAATAAGATAAATAACTTCACTGATTTCAAATCTATGTATTGAACAATCCTGGAAATGAACATTTTCTCTTTTTTTAGCTTACCGTTCTAGTTGATGCACTAAACAAAATGTGGAAGGATAAAATTATATGACACTATAAAGTTGCCTGGAGGGGAAAAACTATCCGACAAGAAGTCCTCATCAAAAAGTAGCTAGAAGACAAATGGAAAATAACGAAGGGAAAAATAAGAAGCACTTGAAGAGTGCGAGGCAGAGAAGCAGCGTCAGTAGCATAAAAAGTAATTCAAAATTCACGTTCGGTAAAATAATTTAAAAGTAAAGATTTACGGGAGAGTGGTGGAGCTCATGGAGGAGGAGATCGACGGCCTCGTCCTCTGCTTGAAGAAGAAATCGATGCAAAATCGGAGAAGGGAGATTAGAGTTCGGAGAAGAAGAACGGAGAGGACGCTGGACGGAGGGAGGGAAGTGAACGGGGAGAAGAAATTGAAGCCTCGTCCTCTGCTTGAAGAAGAAATCGATGCAAAATCGGAGAAGGGAGATTAGAGTTCGGAAAAGAAGAACGGAGATGACACTGGACGGAGGAGTTAAATGTTTCATTAGCCACCGAACTTTACATTATGTCACGACTTACTCACCAAACTTTACTAATTGTCTCGGTGGCCACTGAACTTCACCCCGTCCAACTCCATCACCCATCCCGTTTGAAACCGTTAACAGACGATCTACTTGGCTAACGGAAATACGACTTGGCCGGTTAAATCATTCCAAATCAGTTAACACTTTCCAACTCATTGCCAACTAAGCAAATCCAAACACGCCATTATAAAACATTCAACTTATTTTCCCAACATTTCAACCAAACCCAGATAAAACTTTCCCAGACCCATCCCGTGAGCATAGAATCATTTCCCGAAATCCATCTCCAATCCCTAAATCGAACCCTTAATCTAAATTCCATTTTCCCGAATTCAGATTTCGGAGCAAATCTCTCAAGAACTCCAGTTTTCCTCTGTAAATCGCACGCAAAAAGGGTATAAGGGTTCAAATCTATTTCTTCCGAATTGCACTCGAAGTCCATGGGTTTCGCAATCGTCCTCTTAGACGTGTGGAATTTGAAGACGATGGTGAGGAGGACGAGAACGATAATCCTGACAGCGAGGTGGTGATGGAGCTTGATTGTGAACATTTGGCTGAGAATGAGCCTAAAAGATTTGGGACGCTGCCGGCTCAAGAAGAACAGTAGAAGCATTGCCCAGTGAATTGGGTTTTCTGAGGGGGATGCAGGCATTGCCTAGTGATTTGGGACGCTGCTGGCTCAAATGTTTATTTTTCTTTGTGGTCTAGTGAATGAGGTTTGTCTAAGGGGAAAAGTTTTGTTAGTGAAGAAGTGAGTTTTGGCTCTGTTTGCTTGGATTGGGGCTGAAGCGATGGGATTTTTTTGTACTCATTTTTGTCTTGTTGAAAAGAGGCAGTAGAAGCATTGTTATTGTATCAAATTTATAAGTTTGTGAGATTGTATCAAATTGATAAGTTTGTGAGATTGTAACAGTGCACTTTTAATATATTTGTATTGTTATTCATTGTTCATCTCATGGATTTGGAATTAATGTTTGTAATTTATTGGTAATGAATCTCTGAACCTGTGGTGTTGACATTGTGAAAACAGAGATCTGGCAATGTATCTCTGGACATGTAGTAAAAATTAGGGGAAGAACAAAGTGTGAATTCTACAACATATTCCACTTAATTACAGGAAAAATACAAATTCAGCAACAAACCAGGTTCATAACAGGTTCACCAGATTCACCTGCAATTTTTCATTTTCCATTATCAGGTTCACCAGATTCATCTGATTTTTCGTTTTTCATTCATGGATAGCCTTCACATTTTCAAGAAACTCGAGACATTCATATGAAAGTAGATTAATATTATACAATTCCATACAATTCCTCAAGATTAACATCGTAGAATTCCATACAAAATATATACCAAAGCTGTCATTTGGAACAATATGTTTACAATGTACATGCCTAATTCCTTTACACTGGACAAAAGAAGATTTCAAAAGCCAAAAAACCAGTGTTTCGTCAACAGCTAGTTGGTTGCAACAAAAACCAAAAAACTAGAAGGCAAAAACATTTAGTTGGTTGCTCGACGTCGTTTTCCTGCCCTCGAATCTCTTACGCAGGCAGATTTCGCATCCTTCATGTCATTCAAGTCGTCCACAACATCGTCAAAGTTCACTGCATCTTTTGGAACATCCAATAGAACTGACTGCATGGCCATTGTTACTGCTAGACCAGGTGTTATTTTACTGGATTGCGCTTCACAGGAAACCATCGGGGTTGGAATGAAGTTAAAAGTTTCTTCGTTCCCGGGGTTTTGATCCTTAGATGCTTGATAATTTCCCCTGTCTGGCACCAATTTACCCTGCACAATAATCAGATCATTTTCATATTATACAAAGTATAAAAAACAAAAATAAACATTGAACGATTACAAAACTCAATCAAACATTTACTAACTCGTTCGTCCACCGCTCTATCGCGATGTGTGCCAACTGCTTCTAAATTTCCTTCAAACCATTCCTATCGAAAAAAAAATAAAGTTATATTATATGCATCGATTTATGACATCAATGAAAGCAAGATGCTACTCACAGAATCCGGTGCATCCGGCCTAAAGTGGTAGCGCTTGTTGTGACCCGGCTGTCTGCATAATGTGCATGTCATCGTTGACCGCCCCTTTCTCCGAATATAGGTCTTCCCTTGTGAATTCACTACCACATCTTCATCTGCTCCTTTTCTCCGATTCATCCGAATATCTGATCATGTAATGCAATGATGACTGTCGAGCCAACATTTGTACGGAGTACCTTGGCTGTATAAGATCTCAATCGCCTAAACTGCTCTTGCAAGGTCCCTACTAAAAGTTCTCTTGCATATCTCTGCATCTTCCATGCTACATTTCTGCTAATATCTGTATGGAGATCCTTCTTTACTGTTGCCAAAATTAACTCAGTCTTCCAGTCCGGATCCGCTTTGAATTGCTCAATATATCGACGTGTCAAGAAAATGTAATTACAATGTCTGTTAAATCGATCCCGGCTACATGTATGCTCCGAAGTGTAAGATTTTACTTGCAACCTCTCGGATCCATCAAATTTAGAAGCCCATATTCTCCATTTGCAACCCAATTTACAAATTCCTTGCACTCTTCTTTCCTCATTTGCCTTACATTTTACATTGTACCCATTCAATGCACCGTACGTTCGCACTGCCTCCTGAAACTCTGCTGCAGAACTGAATATTTGTCCAACTTCGAACTGAGGATTTATCATGTCCTCACCAAAAGTGAATTGAGGAAAGACATTACTGCCATCCTCATCTGATGAACATTGGGAGAGTAGATCCTCTGACGACGGTAGGTCTAATTCATCCAACTCGTTCTCGTTGCCTTCTTCTCGTTCTTCCTGAACTTCATTGTCATGGCCGCCCGATCCAATTTCAATCCCATCGATTATGTTTCTATCATATTGGATGTCATCGTCGTCGGACTCAAAGTTGTGGTCGGATTCTACGAAGTCCGGATCTTCATCATAATCTGTCATACAATAGGAATCAATTAAGATTTCTCAACATGGTAATGGGAGTAAAATGTGGAGATATACAAGCCAATATTAAAGAATTCAAGTATAGTTTAGTCACTAAGTCGAGCTAAAATAAGCCATGATCAAACTCTCATTTTTTAAGCGGATCATTCCTGGCATGTCTGAGAAATACTAATTGTCATGTATGTTAAATGTATTTTTAATTCTTTCAAGTGGTGAAATATGGATAACAAAATAACCATTACAAACATTAATTTAATATGAAGGGTACATATTTTCACAAATAAAAAATCATCAAGTTCGAGACATTGAAGAAGCAAACCGAAGAAAAAGCTAAATATGATACCCAGCTGAGAAGTCCTCACAATGAACTCTTATGACCTCTCAAGTCCTACTAATTTTAAGATAAAGATATGGTAAGGAAGTGTCTAAAAACTGAACCTACTAATACACAATGAACTCTTACGACAGAAAAAATAAATTTATAACGAGGTTTAGGTTAACATATTGAGACTTTAAGGGAAGTATAAAATACTACATAGTTTTCTTCAGCTTAAGCAGCTTCAATCAGTTAAGACACGGAACTATCATAATCAATTTGTAAAATCAAATGCAGGCAGAATGTTCCAGCTTCTTGCATTTTAAAATAGAGCACTCAAACCAAAAAACTCGAATTTACCTTCAATATTACCGTCCATGTGCACTCTCAAACGTCTTTCTCGAAGTCGAAGTTCCCAAAATCTCACCGATTTGATTTTTTTGGGGGTTTAGGGTTCTTGAGGGAGATGGATTTGGGGAAATGATTCTATGCTCACGTGATGGGTCTGGCTGAAATTTTGGGAAAATAAGTTAAATGTTTCATAATAGTGTGTTTGGATTTGCTTAGTTGGCAATGGAATGATTTAACCGGTCAAGTCGTATTTCCGTTAGCCAAGTAGATCGTCTGTTAACGGTTTCAAACGGGGTGGGTGATGGAGTTGGACGGGGTGAAGTTCAGTGGCCACCGAGACAATTAGTAAAGTTTGATGAGTAAGTCGTGACATAATGTAAAGTTCGGTGGCTAATGAAACATTTAACTCCTGGACGGAGGGAGGAACATCTGAATTTTGAGTGTGATAGGGTTTTGGTCGAGAGAGGGAAGAATTTTGAGGAGCAAGGGTTTTCTTTGGTGATTAAGAGACGTGAGGCGGTGGAAGTTGGATGAACGGGAGAGGGTAAAAGAGGCAACCCATTGAAGTGGGATGAGTGAGTGTGTCCAGGAGAATAATCAAAATTTTCAAAATATCTAACTTTTACGGCTTGGCTTCAGAACGGCTCGGCTCGAAAACGGCGGCTTACATAGCCATTCGGCTTGTGAATAGTGTTTTGGAAGATGAGTCTTTTAAAGATAGTAGGAAGTATATACGTATATAATTTTTTCTTTTTACAACAATAACTATAAGGTAAGAGTTACAAGTATTAGAAACTAACCTTTTTTAACCGAAAAGGAAGAATAAGAATGCAAATATTTTTGGAAATGAGCTAAGTAATTTTCAAATATTTCCTTTTCAAGCTTAGCTATACACACTAATTATAGGTAACCTCTACAGAACTATGATTACATTATAAAATCAATGAATTCCTCAAGCAACACAAGCACTTGAAAAGGAGGAAATGGTACAGAACATGTGTGGATTCTACTGGAGAATTTTTGCTGTAACTGGATTTTTATTGTCTTATCTGTCATTACTTTTTTCTATATTACTCAAACTCTGAGAACTTGATTGCAGTTATGGAAATATGGCTTTATTGTACCATGGTCTTAATCAAACAGAACTTGCCCTGCGGCACATGTCACGGGCATTACTTCTGTTGAGTTTGTCATCTGGCCCAGATCACCCAGATGTTGCTGCAACTTTTATAAATGTTGCAATGATGTATCAAGATATTGGAAAGATGGATACAGCCCTCCGTTATTTGCAAGAAGCCTTGAAAAAGAACGAAAGACTGCTGGGAGAGGAACACATTCAGACTGCGGTATGCTATCATGCTCTGGCAATTGCTTTCAACTGTATGAGCGCCTTCAAGCTCTCGCACCAGGCATGTCCTAAACTAAATGTCTCTTTTACTGAATTCATGAATGAATTTGAGATTAAATTAGCCTCTTTATTGTTTTATATATCAGCATGAGAAGAAAACATATGATATTCTCATCAAACAACTTGGAGAGGATGACTCTAGGACACAGGATTCTCAAAACTGGATGAAAACATTTAAGATGCGTGAGATGCAGGTTTTGCATTCTGTCCCAGATTTCTTGATAAAATCGTGGTTCTTGGTTTATCCTCGTTTTTTCTTTTTGTTTGTTTATTGGTAGCATTATTGATTTGGTAGATGAACGCACACAAGCAGAAAGGCAAAGCTTTAAATGCTGCTTTTGCTCAAATGGCTATTGATATTCAAAAGGTGATACTTGATTTCTGTTTCTTCCCCTCACCCCTAAGTCCATCCACCTTTTCATTGTTTCATCACATTCCAAAAATTACGAAACAGAACAAATGGAAAAGACTGTGCTTGGTAGAGATGGAAGGCATTAGCTTATGATAAGATGCTTTTTGTCTTTATTTAAATGGCTGTCTATTCAAAGAATAGAACAGTACTAAATTTGGATATTCCCTGTTAAGGGATATAATCCCACATCGAATAAAGATGTTGACACAGACCAATTAATAAAGATCTTGGGCTACTCCTCTTAATAAGGTTGACCTTTTAAGATGGACCCCCAAAATCTTAATATGGTATCAGAGCCCATTATGCTCCAACGAGCGATTCGATCCCAATAAGACTCCAAAAAGTGAGCACGTTGATTTCAAGATTGGTCTGCTCAAATGAGCCACCATCTTGTGGGGGCGTGTTAAGGGATATAATCCCACATCGAATAAAGATGTTGACACAGACCAATTAATAAGGTGGACCACGGCCACCACGATTAAAGCGACCACCACGGCCTCTGTATTGATTACGGCCACCGCGGTTTAGACCACCACGTTGTGCAAGTTGCTGTCTGGCAGTGTAGTTGGCTGAGACCTCATTTGAGAGAAGACTGATATGAGAGTGATGCTGGAGACGTGCTTCATGAGCAAGAAGATGACCCAAAAGTTCCTCAGGAAAGATAGGTTCAAGTCTGGTGGTGACTGATGGAATTAGAGGATCATAATCAGGTCCTAAACTGCCAGAAGATAAGGAACAAACTCGGAAGAAGGCAGAGGTCGTCCTACAGCTGACATTGTATCAGCCAGTGTTTTAGCCTTGCGATAAAATTCAGATATGGAGTCTGCGCCTTTCTTGAGAGAGGCCAGTTGAAACTGAGTTTGGAGAAGACGAGCTTGAGATGCCGAAGCATAAGTAGATTCAAGGGAAAGCCACACCGCACGAGCCGAAGCACAACCCACAACATGTGCCATAAGCGGCTCGGAAAGAGAAGAAATGAGGACTGACATAACGAGTTGATCCTGCTGCAACCAGGATTCATAAGCAGGATTAGGTGCTGAATCGTTTAGCTGAGGCTTAGGAGAGGGAAACGAGCCATCGACAAACTGATAGAGTCGTTGGCCACGAAGGTAAGGAACCAATTGAATCTTCCACAGAAGATAATTATCTGGGGTGAGTTTGACAGAAATAATGTGAGAAATATTTGGCTGGTTGGGAGTGGGATTGAATAAAGGGTTAGAATGGGTGACTGAATTTGTAGGAGAAGAAGGAGAGGAAGGAGGTGACGCCATTTGGAGGTTAATCCTTAGTCAAGCTCTGATACCATGATAGAGAGAATTACTTGAATAATTAGATGAAGGATGTGACGCCATTGGAGGTTAATCCTTAGGCAAGCTCTGATACCATGTAAGAGTGAATTACTTGAATAATATTTTCATTCCTTGTTCTTTATCTATTACAGTGGATTTCTATATATAGAGCTACAAGAGAATATTCAATGGAGTGAAATATTGTTACAACAGAATATTCAACAGCAAGGTGTATTCTAGCGTGGAGGATGATAGGGCAGAATTATGTAACTGCATTGTGGTCCTGAGGCATTGTGCTGGCATTTGGTGAAGAGTCAATACTACCCTTAACATTCCCTGGTAAAATAAGTAATCAAAATTGAATATTCGGGAGAAGGGAGAGGTAAGGAATTGTTAAATGTGCTTTGTTGGGATTGTTGATATGTGTGTTTTGCAATAGTTCTTCGTAAGAGAGTATTTTTAGACCTAAAATTTTAAGTTTGTTATATGATGGGGATAATGTTGAATTTTTGTGGAAGTTGCTTGTGGGATGAATTTAAGTTATCTACTATATGTATGCAGGCTCATCCTGATCTAATACATGCTTTTCAAGTGGCTGCTGCTTCAAACAAACCGGGCCATACGAATGTTGGTAGTGAAGCACTTCCCCGAGGGCGGGGTGTAGATGAAAGAGCCGCTCGAGCTGCTGCGGAGGTGTGAAAGAAAGCAGCTGCAAGGGGTCTTTTGATCCGACCACATGGTGTTCGCGTCCAGGCTTTACCACCCCTTACCCAGCTTCTTAATATCATAAACTCCGGAATGACACCTGATGGAGTGAACAATGAGGTGACTGATGGAGAGAAAAAGGAATCAAATGGACATGCTTCAAATGGACCACAATTTCCCGAAGATGACCAATCCAAACCCGTTCAACAGGATCAGACTCCAGCCGGATTAGGCTCCGCCTTGGCTGCATTGGATCCAAAAATGCAGAAAACAAAAGCCAAAGCCACCGCGTCTTGAAATTTGAAGTCAGAGAATTGCAGGACTTCTTCCATTGTTTATTGTTTCCTAACCAGCTCTTCATAGCTTTGCGCTAAGAAGCAAAGTGTTCAAATGTAAGAACAGAGATTCCCTTGATTCTATTTAAGAGACATTTTTAGGCATCTTTTTGATATAGCAGCCACTGGGTAGAGATCCAATTTTGTGACTTTTCTATACTTTTTATCCAGAGTTTGGGATTTTGTAATTTATAGGTAGCATTCGTGGTGGAGTGATGTGTACTTTCCTCCTTAATAAAAACACCATTGTTTTTTAGATAGTTCTCCTTTTTGTCCGTTCTTATTTCTTTTAAGAATAATTCCCTGCCTGCGTACATGGAATTATTCACAGAAATCATACAAGTGTTGTGTTGGTAGCATTTGTATGGTGCATTTTCTGTCGTCGTGTCGAAAATCAATGAAAAATTGTCTAGCATTCTTCCGTAAAAAATTTGTCGAACTTTTTCTGTATCTATAGCATAAGAATTTGATATTTTTTATGAATATGGTCTTGCAATTGATATTTTATACTTTTTAATAACATTTACTTAGTCATGCTTCCATTAATGATCATATCTTGTAATTGGTGACAGTTTCTGTCCAAAATTTCTGTTAAGGGGGTCATATAAAGGATATTTTGATTGTGGATAACTGAAAAGGTTAAAATAGAATATGAGAAATTATTTTGTTGCTTCTCTAAATCTGCAACCAGATAATACAAATTCTTCCATAATCCTTTTACCAAATACCCAAAATAGATATATTGTTTAACAATTACAAGTTGATCTCCAAGATCAATCCTCGAAGGTAGTGTTCTAAAAAGTTCACCTAAACTCGAAACTTGGGCAGAACGGCTTGCTTCATGCCTAGAATTTTTTTTTTTTTTCAATTTTTAAACGGCTGAATTTTTTCTTTCATGTCTTTCGTCTTCCTTAGGCACGCTTTATTAATTTTTTTCTAAAGTCTTTTATTTGACTTTAATTTATTAATTGCTTTAAAAACTTTTAATTTGACTTTAATTTTAAGTTTTTAAAAGACTTTATATGTACAAAAATTAAAAATAACTTTATTCGATAAAGTGTTAAATAAGATTTAAGCTACGGTTCTCGTGCCCTGCCTTTCCCACTTTAATTGGTTATGTAACAATGCCCTACCCTTGCTTCCGTTTTTTATTTGACTGGAATTCAACATCAACTAATAGAGGCCCACTTCATTTAATGCATGTTCATTTTCTTTTTGACTGGTCATTTGGCATCCACTTGGTTTCGGTTAACTAATTAATGTTTTTTCCCATTTTATCCCTATCATTTATTGTTCATTTGTGAGACAATTTTCATCCTCATCTTATCAAAATAAAAAGGTAATATAGACTTCTTTCTTACCCCACAATTGTTGACTGGGTTGACTAAGAAAGACAAGCAAAAATAAATAAATAAATAATATTTATGGTGCACGGAGAGGTGAGACTCTCCGTGCGCGCACGAAGTGCACCACGCCCCACACACACACACACACACACACACACATATATATATATATATAAAACCCCACAGACTTCTTCGATCATCTCCTTTCCCTTTCTCTCTCTTCCCTTAATCCCATCTTCTACATCGTGTTTCCTCTCTCTTTCTTCTCTCACATAGCAAGGCAAAACCCTAGCTTTAAAATATACTAAGGCACCGTTTGGTAACCATTCTTTTTTTCATTCTCATTCTTCTACTAATTTTTAACCACATATTCATCAATAAAATAATATTTTTCATCACATCAATAACTTTTCCTTCATTTTCAACCACAAAAAAGGTGTGATTTGACACAAAGAATACATTTTTTTCTAGAATAATGGTTACCAAA